CGGCAGAGAGGTGTCCCTGCCCACAGCAGGGGGTTGGAATGAGATGATCTTCAAGGTCCCTTCCAACCTTGACCAGTCCCTGATTCTCTGATGCTGGTAGAACTGCACTGGGGTGATTCTGTTGGGAGTGTCTCTTGTTTGATTTTGTAGCTTATAAAAGTGTGGAAGATCACTATAGCCTCAGCTAAAAATAAGAAGGAACACGCTCTTTCTGTCTAGTGATCTGAGAGTGAAGTTGCCCAAAGAGAACAAAATCACGCTGAGAGCAATTGCATCGGTTTTTTTCACTGCCATGCTGGAGGAGAGGATGAAGCCAGCAAAGCAAGCACTTGATACTGGCGTGTGAAAGGGCGACCAGAAACCTCTCTAGAAACACGTGAGCTTGGTTGGCTTGGACTGGCAGAAGCGTCCTGCGGGGAGGGAGCCCGGAGCTGGGGCTCGGAGATGAGGACATGGGACTGCCCAGCTCTGGGCTCCCTCCCCGCAGGACGCTGGGGAGCAGGAGAGAGCCCGACCTCACCGGAGGCTGTCAAACCTCCAAGTTGTTTGGCAATTTCCATAGTCACATCAGCAGAGAGGGACCAGAGCAAGAGCAAACTTACCCTTTTGTTGTGTGTCCTTAGAGGTTTTTTTATATATCTCTATTTTTTAAAACGAGTACGTTTGTACACAGAGCAGCCTAAGAGATGAGTTGGGCAGATGAAAAGTAAGCTCGCAGCAATGGCACTGTGTAAAAATTTGGGGGTTTTTCTTTTTTTGTATTTTAAGGCAGCAGGGCAAGGTGGTGCCTGATTTTAATGGGGATGAGAACTAGGTGAGGTACTTCTGTGGAGGGGGTAGGAAGTTAATACTGGGTAGAAGTGTGCTCTTCCCAGCAGAAAGGCTCTAGATTATGGAAGTCAGTCGTTGCGTTCCTTATAAAGAGCCAAGTTAGTTACACCCACAAATACTTTCTAAACAGAGGCACTGACTCCAATAAGCGAACTAACAGCTTCATGATAACTACTAAATTTTACTTGATCTTTGTGTCCAGGATCCCATGAGCCTGTTAGGTATGTTAACAAACGCAGTGAAATGCTATTTTTTTTTCTCTTCCCAGCTATAGCGACGCAAGCGAGCGTGGAGTTTCGCCGGAAAGGATCGCAAATGTCCACGGACACGATGGCTTCCAACCCCATGTTTGACGCCAGCGAATTCCCAGACAACTACGAAGCGGGAAGGGCGGAGGCGTGCGGGACGCTGTGTAGGATATTTTGTAGCAAGAAGACCGGGGAGGAAATATTGCCAGCTTACCTATCCCGGTACTGACCTGTCTTCCCGTTGCTTTATTGGCACAACTTTGTGGGGCAAACTAACTCCTGGCAAAGAGCGTTCGGTTAGTGGCCGAATCCTGTGTTGCCGATTCACCAAATCCCAGTTAGCCCCCAGGAGGGCATCGCTGGTGAAACTGAGCAGTGGTTTCCTTTTGTCTTCTCGTGATACTGGTTTTCACTGGGTTTGCAAGTTCCAGGTGAAGGGAAGGCCCTTAAGGTGCCTCCCAGAGGGAAGGAGCATTCTCTTTTTGATACACTCTTGCTTCTTTTGTAATTGCTTTTCAATAACTTGTCACCAAATATTGTTCAGATGGGAAAAATTAGTGTGCAGACTGAGGAGCCTTCATGGCCTTATAAACTGTATGAACTCATATGTTGTCAAGCACTGCAGCCCTGGGATTGAATGTGTTTGCAGTTGGGGTTTTTTCCCCCCTTTAAATAGAGAAATGAAGTAATATTTCATTATTCTTACTATTTTATTTATTGCGTATCACAGTGGTTTGTATATACATAGTTTGTGTTTCTTCTGCCCAGTCACTGAGATTCTTCTGTGTTTTCAAGCCTTTTAAAAAATACAACAAAGGGGATAGAAGTTTTCTCTAACTAAAAAGTATAAAAGACTGTTTCAGGATGATGGCTAGCTAGGTTCCTGCCCCACTGCGTTTTCGTTTGAACCGGTTACTTTATATTTGATCTCAATTTCCATATTGCTGGCCAGGATATCCTGTCCTGTGCTCCCCCTCCAAAGAAAACGATTTTGCAGTATTTTTCACATGTTGGGGAGTTCAAATGCAGGTGTCGCTCCCACCCTTGTGTGGGGAAGGGAGCAGCGGGCGAGCAGGGGCCTCAGCGCCGTCGGTGCCCGCATGGGCTGTGCTCGCGCAGCTCCTGGTCCCTCAGTGGCCACAAGCCTGAGGTTTCGGTCAAACTGGGCTGTGCTGGCTTTTCCTGCCAAACCCGCGGGGGCGGGAGGGGGTTTGTTAAGCCCGCTGGGCGTGTTTGTGCTAAAGTAATGGAGGGGGGCTGCCTGTGTAGGTATTTTCTGGCTCTGATGTTTGGAGCTTGCCTGTGTGTTACAGAGAAGAGATCAAACAGTGGCTGCACGTTCTTGTTCGTGCGGGATGCTGATGCTTTTCTATGTGCAAATAATTTAATCTTATCTTTCTTTGTCAGATTTTACATGCTTTTAATTCAGGGTTTGCAGATAGCGGATTTCGTTTGCCACCCTGTTCTGGCCAGTGTTATTCTGAACTCCCCTCCTTTGTTCTGCTGTGACCTGAAAGGGATCGATGTGGTGGTTCCTTATTTCATTTCGGCTCTCGAAACTATTTTACCTGACAGGTAAACTGCTATTTCTCTATGAACACAATCACAAATGTGGGGAGGTGTTTATCTGCTGGAGTGTCTGTCATTCCTCAGTAGTTTTCACTGAGGAATTCTGTAACGTGGGCCCGTAGTGTATATGGGTTTGTTGCTGATAGTAGTGGGATTTCTCTAATCTTTAATTTTCAATGTTATTTGATGCCATTTTCTTTAAAGCAGCAACAGTGCTTATTTTAAATGATGTGAGTTGTGTTGTCTACGTGTTTGCCGATGGAAAGCAGTATCTGCAAGAATAGGGAAAAGCACAGATTTAGCTTAGATATATTGACAATTACTGATTTTTAAGTAAAACTTCACCACAGCAACAGGGACTAGTATCTTGTGAATTCATTAAGAGAGTAATCTTATGCATCATTAATTAGAAATGTTGGTAATTTAGACAGGCTGCTGAAAGAAGATGTAACCTCACTTGCCAGAGCTGTATAGAACTCTGGACATTTTGCGAATACTACTCTGTATGTGCCGCCTTCAACACACGTTTTATGTGTTAGTTCTGCGTTTTGAAGTTACACACAAAACATTACCTGTTTTCTGGGCTTAAACCTGAGCCGCCGCTTCTTTCGGATAGGCCTTAAAAGTAGAAGAACTTGCTGGTGGGAAAAGCCGCTGTATTTGCTAAGCAGCCCGTGTTTGATGCAATGCGAGCACGCCAGCGTGCTGCAGGGCTCCGATACTCTGGGGTGGGTTTGAGTTGAACTAAGTTAGCTCATGACCTAAACTTTGCGCTTTGAAGACGCAGCATATGAGTAATACTTTGATCAGCTGGTGCTTTTATGTGGGGTACAGCATCCCTAGCAAGGGGTGGTTCCTGCAGGAATTCATTGTTTTTGCTGCTGTTCACAAAAAAAAAAAAAGGAAATCCTGAGCCTAGAAAGAGACGGTTACATTGTGTACTGCAAATTATTTAAGACCACTGAGGGGCTGTATGTTTAATTTTAACTTAGATTTGGCTCCAGATTCCTGTGAAGAGTTGATTAACTGTATGATGCTTTGATTTGCAGAGAACTCTCAAAGTTTAAAATCTATGTAAACCCCACAGAGCTAAGAAGAGCTTCAATTAACATCTTGCTGTCTCTGTTGCCTCTCCCTCATCATTTCGGAACCGTGAAGTCTGAGGTAGTGAAATTCCCGCTCTGTTTTGCGTTCCCATTTTTGTTTTCCCGGTTGTTTTGGAGTGGGATGAGGGTGACTGGGGCTTGTGCCGGGTGCTCTGTTTAGGACCGTGGCAGCAGGGCTGTGTTACAAGTTATCAGGAGCCACACGTGCTGTGGGTGTTGACTTTTGAAACCAATTCCATGCTGCTGTGATCTCTGATACTGAACTAAATGTATTTTTCCTTCAGGTTGTCCTGGAAGGGAAATTCAGCAATGATGACAGCTCAACGTATGATAAACCAGTAACCTTCCTCTCCTTGAAGCTGAGGCTTGTGAATATACTTATAGGAGCTTTGCAAACGGAAACAGATCCCAACAACACTCAAATGATACTAGGTTATTTCAACATTTTTATTCATTAACTGCATTACGGAAGGGTCTGTCTTAGTCTGTCCTGGAATAAAATAGGTTGTTAGTAATGTGGTGCTTTGCAAGAAAAAAAAATGAAGTTCCGGGCAGGTTGTTGTCCGTACAGTCTCCCTCATTCTATGAAAACACCTTCAAGAATCTGATGTTTTCGTTAAAGTAATTATCTTTATACAAATGTGGAACAGTACCTGAAAAGTAGAGGTGAAAGTAAAGCACATTCTAGCAGGAGAAGTTGGCTGTAACTAGGACAAAAAAAAGTTTAATATTGGGAAGGATTCTTGGCTAATGGGTTACAGAGAAGACTTTAGTTTGGCACACGATTAAGCCTTGAGACAAATTGAAATGCTGCGTGTTGCCGGTGGTCCCGCACTAGCAGGACACAGATGGCATTTGTTTCTGTGGAAATCCTCAGATGAAAGCTTGGGACTGGAGTCTGGAGGTGCCCCATAGTTTGGCGACAAACTGTTCTTTGCCTACAAAGAGCAAATAGCAAACGCCCTTCTGAATACTCGGAATGTAGAGAGAAGGATTTCTCTTCATGTAGCGAATGGTGACTGCCTCAACTTCCAATGCCAAGGGCAGGAACTTAAAATTTTTTGATGCCCCCGAGTGTGTCAGGGTCTGCCTGTGACAGGTCTGCGCCCTCCCTGCTCTTGTCCTCCCTGCCTGGGGTGATGCTGCGCGCGGGTACGGGCTGTTCAGGCATGGCATCGGCAATTTCAGTGTCTTGTGCTTGCGTGTAGTTATCTCTCCGCAGATGGGGGAAAGAACTGCCTGCTGGCTAGTTTGGATGCAGTAGGGTTGCCTACCGCTGCACTTAAAGTTTTTTTTAATGCAATATTTTGGGCACTGATGGGAAAAAAAGCACAGAAGGTTAAAGGACTGGGGATGGCTTCCAGGAAGAGAGAATTTCAGTGTGTCCCACCCCAGGTTGTGACCCAGCCTTCTGATTTAGGAATATTTTACCTGAATTGAAACAAAAGCAATTTTTATTTTACTCTGCAAACCCACAGATTATCAATGATGCAAATATTAGCCTTGATTTTTTTTTTTTTTTAAAATTTTTTTTGGTAGGTCAGGGACAGAAATGTCATTATTTTTCTAAAGCTCCTTGTGTTACAGTGGTTTGGGGGATCATTTCACTGGTCACTCATCAGTATGGGAGCAACTGTAGCCCTTTGTGCCCATGTCCCAAGGGCTGCTGAATGGATATTACTCCCTTCATCTTCGTGCAGGTTGCTCTATGTACTGGTCATTCACTGAGACCTGAAAACATGTTTTGGTTTGCCAGTTACCAGCTGCCCTTTGGGTCCTACTGGCCAAGCTGGGGAAGGGAGCCAACTTGGGCCAGACAGGACTGTAGGCGAGGCTGGCGGTGTGTAACCCTTGAGGTGACTGCGGACAGCTCGTTTCAGCTCTCTGTTATCTAACACGTACAGTTATTTTATTGACAGAATCAGCAGATATCCTTACATGTAACCCAAGTCTTGAAACAAGCACGGTCTGATGGGAGACACAGAACGATTCCAGCCCTTCGGTGAAACCAAAATCCCGCTCAGCTGAGGAATTTGAAAAACCTATGCTCAAAGCATTTTTTGAAATAGCTGAAAGCGTTCTCTGTCTCAGCTCTCGTCTCCTTCACATGGCTGAGCCTGGAGCAAATCTTGTGTTTTATAAAACTCTTTAGAAGGGTTTTTATAAAGCAGGATGGTGATCCTGTATATCAGACCTTCAGTGCTTCTTTGTAAATTTTGGTGGTTAATATTCTACTGCGGTCTTTGCTTACCTTCTTGTATCTGATTCTTCAGGTGCAATGTTGAACATTGTCCAAGACTCAGCGCTGTTGGAAGCCATTGGCTGTCAGATGGAAACAGTAAGTACTTTTTGTTTATGAAGTTACCGCTGCAGAAGGGACGCATTCCTCATTTTTTATCTGCTGTTGCAGGTGCTCAGTAAGCAGCCTGAGGTTTGATCATCTGCGTCCGCTGATACAGGGAACTCGGAAAAAAATCTTCTTATTGCTTAAACCTGACTTTCAATTTGCAGAACGGCGGCGAAAATAACCTCTGCAAAAGCCACAGTCGTACTAACAGTGGCATTAGCACTGCAAGTGGGGGCAGTACGGAGCCCACGACGCCAGATAGCGAGAGACCAGCACAAGCCCTTCTGAGGGATTATGGTAAGGAAAGCTCTTTGGAAAAAACTCTGTCACTCTATGCCAACGTGATGGGGTTTGGGTTTTTGGTAGATTTTTGTTGGGTTTTTTTCTGTTCCTAGTTCTGGCTAATACATTAATGTGCACGGGTGTTTTGAACCCAGGGTGGACGAACGTTTGTTGCCAGTTTGTGCTCATCTGTGCCCTTTTGGTGGTGGTTTTTTAATCCTACTAAAGGACTCTAACATTTTAAAAGTAAGAACGTAGCAGCTTATGGAAAAGGTGTTTGCAACCTGCTTTACTTTAGCTTATGTTTTCAAGGCACTTAATTTTCATGAACAGTAATGGGATAAATTTACACCAAGGGTAAATTAATTGCTTCATTCATTTTGGTGGCATTCATGCTTACCTGGTTCTGCAGCACCTTTTCTTAAGCTATATTTAAAGGGCATTTGAGGAATTCTTGTTTTTGTAGAACAAGTAAGCAGAATGCTTATGATGTGTCATTTGTTATAACAAAGGATTTAGTAATTAACCTTAATTTGTTATGTCTTGTACTGTGCACTTTTGAACTTTTGTAATAAAATCTGTATTATTCTGAATCTGTGTGGTAAGCTGGCTCCACGTTGGGATCCTGGAATTTCATTTGCCCCTTTGGTCTTCAGAAGTTTAACTGATGCTGACCAAGTAGATGTGAGAACAGATCAGCTTGGTGATACTGTAGCCAGGCTGCCAGCTCTGTTCTTGCCTGCCAAAACCCATTTCTTCCCCCTAGTTCTTCCTCCTCTCCTTAGCCGCAGATTAGTAGGAAGGACTTTAGCATGTTCTAGGGATTCATATAAGCATGTCGGTGCCTTCCCTACAGGATTTGTTTGACATTCTTAAAATGCTAGTTTTCAGCACGCCATTTGAATTGTCTGTTTAATTCATATGGGTTTCCATTGATGGGTGTTTGTAAAAATATCCGTTTATAAGGTTAAAAACGACTTTTAAGTATTTCACTTACCAAGTCTTTAAACCATGACGTAACTTTAAAGATTTTTCTGTAGTATGTGTTTGTTGGATTTTTTTGAAGTTTCCAAGCAGCCAGGTAAGGCTGTAAGGAATTTCTGAAAAGGGTTTCTGTTTTTCTGCTGGATGCTTCAGGCAAGAGAAAACTGAAAACAAGATGGTCTATTTTTACTGTTTAATTGTAGCAGACATTTGAAGCTGTTGCGAGTGTAATGTTTTACTTAGCTTTTGAATGTTAAATATGATGATTTACCTTTTGGGAAGGATACACCTGAGCTGTCATAGTTCTCTTGTCTCTTTATAACTAGTCATTTAGCAGGTTTTATTTCTGAAATTCATTTGCCTACTTCATTTTTAGTGTTTATATGTATAGTGTTTATGCTCCTAGTACTTTGAAATGAGAACAACTGATACGAAGAACATTTTCCATTTTTAATTTTGAGCTAGAGGTTCAGAGAAATTAAAAGTCTAGAAATACTTATTTTTTACCTCCGGAACTAATTCTTTCATCACCTAAATTTGTCTAACCAGTACAGCTTCTGATAGACACTAGGTGTAGAAAGAACAGATAACTTCGGGCATAGATATCTGAAGTTACGTGTGCTCTACTAGTTGATGCCTGAGTGTGCAGGTACTCGTGTCTCATGTACATACCAATTCCCAGATTTTTCTGAGTCTACAGGACATCACAGCAATTTAAGTACAACAACACAACCTGAGGGCAGCTGTTCCGCTGCTGAAATGCTGCAGTGCACTGGGATTGTCCAAAATGTCCTTTTGTTTGGTTTTTTTTTTTTTTAAAGAGACATTCAGATTAAATTATTTGTATAATGTCTGAGGGTGTGTCTGAGGGAGTTAGCCTGTGCAGAAGTGACCAACCTGATTTCTAGGTTCTGAGTTGTGTATAATTTTATTTTATGTGTGTATTGTGGCTGCTTTGGCTTGTACCTGTGCTTTGCTCTTTGTCACTAACGCTTAGTTATTTTCCCTCCCTGTGGCGTGCGGCATTGGGGTTATATCCTAGCTCTTCATACAGATACCGCTGCGGGACTCCTGATCCGCAGCATTCACCTGGTCACCCAAAGGCTCAACTCCCAGTGGAGGCAGGACATGAGCATCTCCCTGGCTGCGCTGGAGCTTCTCTCCGGACTGGCAAAGGTGAGAGCTGAACCTGAGGGGCTCCAGCCTCTCCTCAAAGGGAGCTCATAGTCCTGCCGAGGTCCTCTTTGGACACAAGGGAGCAGTGCTCCTCTCGCACCTCGCCTGCTCCTGGTGCTCTGTGTGCCCTGCGAGTGCTGCCTGGCCAGCAGCGGAGCTCAGGGTGGCTTGTTCAGATACACGCGACTCTGCTGAGTGATTCCAGCGGGGTTTGGTCAGCCAGCTGGGTGGCTCCAAACTGCCCACATCAATTTCCGTGTGTGTCTGGTTTAGGTTTTTGCTTTGCTTTTTACACTACAGAGGAGATCTAGTTATGTGTGTAAATATGAGGGTTGGGTGTCAAGAAGGAGGGGACAAGCTCTTTCCACTTGTGCCCTGTGACAGGACAAGGGGCAATGGGTACAAGCTGGAGCACAGGAGGCTCCACAAAACATCAGGAAAAGCTTTTTCCGTGTGTGGGTGCCGGAGCCCTGGCCCAGGCTGCCCAGAGAGGGTGTGGAGTCTCCTGCTCTGGAGACTTTCCAACCCGCCTGGACGCGTTCCTGTGGGGCTGCCCTGGGTGACCCTGCTCTGGCAGGGGGTGGCACTGGGGGATCTTTTGGGGTCCCTTCCAACCCCCAGCATTCTATGATGCACCTGCCATATTTGGTGAAGAAAAACTTGGTACTAAGCAACGTAGGGGCTTGGGCCATGAGATCCCAGCCCCACGGTGAGCCATTTATTGCAGCTTGTCTTTGGCTGGGAGGCCAGTCTGTCTGTTCACAGGGTAACCAGCCTTAGAAACAAGGGGCTTTGTTGCTCTTAGTTGACAGACTGCAAATATGCCGGGTTATTAAATGACTTAATTGCCCTTTTTACAAGTGTTGTACCTGCTTTTGCTTTTCCATCTTATCTTGGAAAAGGTTTTCCGAGCTTAGAAAGTTGTTAGTGTATTTCTAATATGAAGATGTTGCTTTCTTCAGAAGTTTATCTGTGCACAGTTTCTTGATTCAACAGCAAATCAGTGAACTAAAGCTAGTGGAACGGGGGCATTTTTGTTGAATAGTGAAATGCTCTTTTCTGCTTGAGGGCTCTTGTGCCCAAGCTGAACTTCATGGCGTTGGTTAAGCAAAAGTGCAGCATATTTACAGCAGCCACAATGACCTGGCGTGACAATTCAGCATTTCCTGTCATATTTTCCTGGGATCGCAACAGATCTCTCTAGAAATGTGCGTCTCGGGCATATTTTAGAGCGTGGAGTCAGCACTGAGCCGTTTTGGACTGCGTGCTTATGTTATTATTGCAGCAATCTCAGCGGAAGGATGTGTTTGGAAGTGGTCTGCAGTGAATTAATGGATGGGTATTGCTTATAGAGTGTCATACAGAACCAGGAGTTCCTGCAGCTCGTGTGGTTAAACCTTTTATTTTGTCTTGTCTTACAACGAGACAGGAATGTGAAAATACATTACCTTTTCAAATGCCGTCCCAGGTTAATACTAAATCGTAGAATCCTTTAGGTTGGTAAATACCCTTATTAATGGGACTTGATGAATTCAAAAATCCTGTTTCCTGCTGGTTCACCAACCAGCTTTTCTCGTAAGCTCATCCTGAGGGGACTCTGCCATAGATCTTGCTTCTGAAGGAAACGCTGCCTTCATCCTGCGGCTCTGAATTGTCACCCCTCCTTGTGGAGCACAGCTTCCCTGCTCTGCTGGTGTCGCCACCAAGATCATCCACCTTCTGCTTGGACAGGGGTGCACTGTAACGAGTAAAGCTTTATAGAGCATGGTCAGGTGTACAGAGTTGAAAAATCTGGCTTTAACTGACCTGCCAAGTCAGAGGCTTTGAAAAATAGAGAAGAGAAATTCAATTCTTGAGTTAGTTTTGTGAGGTAGATCCTCACAGCTCGGTACAGGGCTCTTCTCTAGCCTCCGGTCTGGAGCCTTGCTCCCTGAAGCCTTGAGCTAGGGAAGAAGCTTAGGGGTTTTTGCATTGAGTTTTGAGGGAGGAGCTGTGGGTTTCTTTGCCATTCTGCTTGTCTGAGGATGGGCTTTCTGTCCCTTTTTTCACTGGTGGAAGTTACTATGCTGATAAAATATGCCTGGTGGAAAGTTATGTGAGCAGGGTGAAGCCCCGTGGAAAGGAAACTTGGTAGGGATTGAGATCTTGGAGGTATGGAAGGGGTTGATAGAGCTGAAGGAGGGAGGTGTTTGCTGAAAATAAGTTTCAAATGCTAATTTATTCAGTTTGCAATTAGTTTGTTATCCAACCATATTGGTACTGCTGCTGCTCTTGGAAACCAAGCCCTACAATGTGGTGGCACCTCAGTGCAGCACTTCTTCCCTTTAAGTTTCAATATTCATCACAGTTAAATATTTTTACCCATAGATTTTAAGCTGTAATCATAAAAGCTCAACTGTTTATTCCTGTTTCTTAAAACTGCGGTTAAAAATGCCATTTAAAACTACTCTCTGAAAGATTTTTTTTCCGGACAAGTTCTCATCCTCTTCTGCCTGCTTGGCCCAGGTGAAAGTGGTGGTCGATTCCTCCGACCGAAAGAGAGCCATCAGCTCGGTGTGCAGCTACATCGTGTACCAGTGCAGCCGCCCGGCCCCGCTCCACTCCCGCGACCTCCACTCCATGATCGTTGCGGCTTTCCAGTGCCTCTGCGTCTGGCTCACGGAGCACCCCGACATGCTGGATGAGAAGGTGAGAGGCCCCCGGCACACGTAGCCCGAGCGCTCTGAGTTGCGGTGCCTTTTGTGCCCGACCAGGCTGTCCTTGGCGCTTTAAAACAATGTGGTCGTCTTAGTTTTCAGAAGGTAGACTCGGAATTGCAAAACTGGTTTAGGTGTGAAATCGATCTGAATTTTAGTTTCTGCACTTCATTCATCGAGAATGTTTTAGGCTTTCAGATTACCTGTCCTTACTTCTAAAGAACAGCTTGATCTTTCTTCTTGCTTTGTGAAACTGGAAAAGGAGAGGAGAAAACCTGAAAAAAAAAGGAAAAGAGAAATATGGGAATAACTGGCCTGTATGTAGCATAGCTACTTGCTGCACATAAACCTCACTAAAAGCCACTCTTAGCTCTTACCTGACTAAAGCATCTCCTAGACCTAACAGAACTCCTTTGGTGCTAATATTTTGATAACTGTAGTTTGTTTCACCAAGAAAACAGTTTTCTAGAAAATGACCAGACCAGATGGAATTTTCTTGGGAAGCTTGAAAAGAGTAGGGAATAAAAGATGTGTGTTCAAACAGCCTTCTGTCCTGCTGATTTTAAAAACAAACAATCAAACAAGTGAAAATACTTGAGTGCAGATTTTCATTGTTAGTCTCCAAGTCCGTCTTGTTGTGAGGGCCCAGAACAACACGGAGTTGGAGATGTGGCCTCACCAGGCACAGGGACAGGGGGACAGTCACTTTCCTTTCATTTTATTTCCTTTCATTAGTGTATTTTTTTTATTATGACTGCATATCAAGATCATATTACATACTGTATGTAGTATATACGGAACACGAGCTGCTCAGCTCGTTACAGTGAGATGGGAACCTCTCGCTCACTTTCAAGTGTTAGGATTGCAATTTTCCAGGTGCCCCACCTTACATTTGCTTTGAATTTCAGCTGCAGTTTTCCTAGCCACCATTGTAAGCTCCTTCTGCAGTTCTTCATGGCCAGTCTGTGCATCTCAGTGCTGGTTATTTCTGCTGTCAGAGAACTTCTGTCTCCTTCGCCTCTTTTTCTGTGAATATAAGGACGGACACAGGCCAAGGGCTAGAACCCTGCCTGGTCTCTAGTGGTAAAAACTGACCACTTGTGTTCAAATTTTAGGCCGTTTTGTATTTGCAAGAACACTTTACTTGTTATTCTGTAGCTCAGGCCATGAGAGTTGAACCTTTGTTGTAGCAATCTAGATATTTTCAGCAAACGAATTTGTTAATGACCAACATGTGAGTCCCACCTGAGTGCTGGCCCCACCTGTAACGGATTTGTTGAAGCTTTGCTGTGTAGTTTCAGAATAAGAACAATATTCTCTTGATGAATTAGATACTGTGGTATATTTTACTTATGAAAGCTGTTGGCAGCCGTTAAGATTTGGAGAAGGATTTCTTGCAATTTTCCACGTTGGTTCATTCTTAATATCCTTAAAACTTAATTAAAAGTTCTGCAGAGTGGCTCACAAAAGCATTTATTTACTTCTTTAAATATGTGTCCGTTTTTCAGTCTCACTTTTAGTCCTCCAGGTATTATGCACATATGTAACAGAATCTATTGTGTGCGTGTATTCATTCGGAGCACTTACCACTAGAATACGAACCTAAGTAGACATCTATAGATAGAGAAAATGTTATTCCTATAGCAAATGTGATCTTATTTGAACACTGTCTGTTAGAATAATCTTCTGCCTTTATTTCTGAGCTTTTTTTTTATCAGCAGGACTTTTAGTCGATGACCTGTCGCTGTTTCACCCAAGCCTTGGACACATTTATCAGTGGGCTTGTACTTTAAGGTGGTTCCTCTTGTGTTTTAGGATTGCTTGAAGGAGGTACTGGAGATTGTGGAGCTGGGCATTTCGGGAAGTAAGTCCAAAAACAGCGAACAAGAGGTCAAGTACAAAGGAGATAAGGAGCCAAACCCCGCATCCATGCGAGTGAAGGATGCTGCTGAAGCTACACTGACGTGGTGTGTAATTTACCAGAGCATGTTTGCGTAGCGTTGCCTTGTCCAAGAGCGTTTCAATTGAGTTCTGGGCTGGTGAGATCTCTGTGATGTAGGTGTAAAAACATTTGAGAAGTCAACCAGAAGCTCCCTCTTCTGCCCTTGGGGCAGGACTGCCCTGCGCTCTGCCTGAGCTGCCATCCTTCTGTTAGTGCTGTTCAACAGCACAAACATCCCCGGCGCTGCTGTCTCCCCCTCCTGCCTGTTCTCTTCCTCAGAGAGCAAACCCCAGAGCCCCTGGGGCTTGTCCTCTCTGCAGGCAGCAGTTCCCTCTGTCTCCGGCCACCTGGACCCGGGGATGGTTTCTTTCCATTCCTTCTGACCCTCAGCCTGACGAGGTGGCCAGCCCACGCTGGCCGGGGAGCCGACAGGCACCATCTCCCGTGTGGCGCCGCAGGGAATGGCACAGGCAGGAGGCGGAAGCTGGTGCAGGGTGCCATGTCGTTCTGCCCACAGCATCGGGCTTGCTGGATATATTTGAGAGGTTCTGGTGGAAATGCAGTAACAGATAACGTGTGGGTTGGGGAGGGGGAAGCACAGAGAGGAAAATTGCAATTTAGTCCACAGAAGTTGAAAAGCGCTGTTTTCCTGGGTGAATGGCATGATGGTAGACGGGACAGATTGAGGATGGGTAGGATAAATATGTTTTGCAGAAGGCAATATCTGCCTGCTTTCCTTTTTTTTTTTTTTCCTGTCCCTTGCAATAAAATTGTTATAAACTTTATTGCTAGTAAAAACAACTGGATAGCTTCCGAGGTAAAAACAGCTGCTCACTGGAACTTGCAGACAAACCTTTATTGTTGCTTAAAAGTGCCTTTTTTCATTTAGAGAGATGGAACTTTACGTTCTCAGAGTAAGGTGGAAAAGTGTGCGGGGAAGACTTCAGTACATGTACTTATGGTCTGGGTGGTGGCGCTAAGAGTAACGTCTCAGTTAGTTCGTGTGATCTCCAGTCTGACACTGGAGAACTCTCATTATTGGTTCCTGCAGCAGAAACTTTCAATTTCCAACAGCGTTAGGTAGCTCCTGTGCAAGTCCAGGTGATTTAAGGCGGTACTTGGAGGAGCCTCCCGGGGCTGTGGCTCCGAGGAGGTGGGCGCTGTTGGACCGTGCCTGGAGGCTTTCTCCCAGGGAAGGTCACCATCCATGGCAGTCCTGCCTGTGTGATCCTGCGTCTGTCTTAAAGGGTTTTAAGTTAATGATTCTTTGCTTCCACCATCCCTGCCTTGCTTGTCGATACGAGTGGGCTAAAGTGTGGATGATTATCTCCTGTCATCCATAATCATCTTTGGACAATGAACATAAAAACGACTGTGGGAGAGTACACGTTTCGTGCTTTAAGGCATGAAATGAGTGAAGAAACGGATTTCATAGGCAGAGTACTCTTCTTTGGAAGTTTTCCTGTTTGTGTTTTCTGAGACTGTTCTTTCTGTTTTAAAACAAGCTGATGGGAGAGGGCAGGCTTGCCCCGATAGGGTAGCTGCTGTGTCAACGTACAAATGAGGAATATGAGCGAAAGTCTGTGCTTGGGTGGAACAGTTGGTCATCTTAATCTGCCATAACTCTTAACTTATTTTCTTACTTGCAGCATTATGCAGTTACTTGGAGCGTTTCCTTCTCCCAGCGGCCCTGCTTCTCCTTGCAGCTTGGTGAACGAAACCACGTTAATTAAATATTCTCGCCTACCTACCATAAATAAGCATAGCTTCCGTTACTTCGTCCTGGACAACAGTGTCATCCTGGCAATGTTGGAGCAGCCTCTAGGGAATGAGCAGAGTAAGTTCGTACTTCCCCTTTCCTTCTTCTTCTGGTTAAAACTCTCTGGAGCTGCAAAACCAAAGGCTGTTCATCACGTGTCTCTCACTTCAGGGGCTTACCTGTTGGGGGGGGTGGGGAATGGAGCAGAGTGGCCTGCTGGGATGAAGGGGTGGGAATAACCTTGATGCCACTGGTAGTTAAATGTGACGAAGCCCATCCGAACTGTTTGTGCAGTGCCTGTCTGGCACGCAGTTAGATGAGATCCTGGCAGCTGGCTGCCATCCACACGGCTGCTGGTACAAAGCAAGAGCATTACGTTTTGAAAACATCACTGTTCCTAAGCGAAGGAAAGTACAGAGAGTGTAGGAGGCGCCGTAGGAATAAGTGCTCAACAAGTGGTTGAAGTGACACCTTTATGCTTGCATAATTGCGTTTGCTTGCTTTTGGTCTCCTGTAACTAAATGTTTCTGTAGCTGCTCTCAGCTCAAATGGGTTTAGTTGCTCAGGAGCTGTTAGAACTTTGCCATGCACCATCCTGCCCTACCTAGGACACCCGCTCTAAGGGGGATCTGACACACAGTATTGGCTTTCACAGCTGAATCTAACTTGTTTCAGCTTCATATCCTTTGACCAACAAGAATTTGTATTAAAAGAGGTGGTATTAAGTTGCACAACACTTTGAACCCGTATATCTTCATGTATCATGGCATCACCTAATAGAATAGGTGAAAATTCTCTTCTGTGCTACCTCAGTTCAAAGTATGTGAGCTCTGCTGCTCTGCCCAGGTACGTGTCCCTCACCTCCGGACCAGAGGGAGTCTAGATGCTAGTCTTGAAAGCAGAGAACACACAGAACTTCATGCATGGGCTAAAAGAAGCTGTTCTTTTGAGTTGTGGTCCAGAGTGCTCCAACCTCATTGAGACTCACTAAATAGACCTCGCAGAAAGTGCTGGCGCGGAGCCATTGCTGCATGCCCACCCCAATTCTGGGTTTGAGCGAGCGTGTTCCTGGCTGGAGTGGATTAGAGCACGCTAGAACGGCTGAGCAATTCTCATCCTCACTCTGCCTCTGCTAAATACATTACAGAGGAATCCTATAAAGCTATTAGAATCTTAAATTAGATTATCTTTTCTTGCTGTGCATAACTTGCTTGCAAATCCCCTTTGAATTACAAGATTAACTGCAGTAATGCACAAGTATCTCGGATCGCTTTTGAGGCAGATCACTGCAGTGGGTTACTGTGGGGAGCTGGTTTGTTTTGTCTGTGTGTGTGCTTATATAGCTATGCTGCACCCTGAACCTCCCCTGAAATACTGGGGAAGGAATGAATATATGCCTGCTGGTTACCTGATGGTGTCAGTTTGTGGGGTTTGTGCACAAAACAAAAATACAAATAATTTTAAAACAAAAATCCGTAGAGGTATGATGATCCCTTTTCTAAAGTGACCAATATCAGTGGCCCTTTAAGTCTCAAAGGAAGGCTAAAATCTCTGCAATGTCAAAATTGTCGTTGTGGCAACTTGAAAGGCCCCTTGGGAATCCGCAGTCCAACCTCCTGCTCTGCACAAGGTCAGTCCTGAGCTCAGACCAGGGCAGTGCAACCTGCCATTGTCCGCGTAGGCCTTTGAAAACTGGTGAGGACAGTTCCTCTGTGCCCCTGTTCCTCGTGGTGAAAAATTTTCCACGATAGCAAGTCAGAATCCTCCCCTGGCTTGGTTTGCCCATTTTCTCTTGTCCTTCCGCTGTTCTTATCACTCCTGTTTTATGGGACCTTTGCAGAAGGTCATGGGAAGTATGGAAGCTGTCTCCATATGGTCATTTGTCTTACCTAAATGGGCAGTGCCTGGACAGTCTTTTTTGTTTTCCTGGAGGTAATTTGGAGAGAAACAGTGACCTGCGTGAATCTGGTTGAAAGTTACTTTCAGTGATGAAACCGAACTGGCATCTGCTGAACAGATCACGAAGTCGCCCTGCTGCACGGAGGAGGATTGCTTGTTCCTCACCAGGAATTCAGGGTTAGGGGGCAGTTAACCTTGAAAAGAAAACCTTGTTATCATGTGTGTGTTTCTTTCTGGTGTAATTATTGCACGGTGAACTGTTTGCAATCTATGATGATGTTTTATTCCCCTAACCTGTGTGCTTTGCAGATGACTCTTTAGGTTTTGATCCGTGGGACATCGGGAAGATTTGCATGGGCCCAGCAACTCTGCCTTTTGCCAAGAGGAGCTAAAGCAAATCAAAAGGTCTCTGTCAAAGCCCGTAAAGAAATCTTTAACTTAGAGATGTTCAGCAGAAATTCCACTAATGTGAGACAGCCCCGCAGAGCTGGTGATTATACGTTAAGGCAGAGCCACGGGGCCTTTAGCTGTAGGTAATGTGACACATCTCTGGTGACTCTTTACAACTTGTAATTAATATGAAATTCAGGCTGTGAAAGTGCCATTGCCTTCCAGACTTGTTTAAGGGGAGGGGGCATTCTCCTTTTTTCCTGAAAGCATCTTCTGAGGTGATGGGGCAGTGGGCAGCATATTTAGTCTGTAGGCATGAGCGTTGGTGATTTCAGGGTGTCAGGCAAAGCCCGGAGGTGCTGCAGCGGGAACAGCTGTTCAAGCCCAATGTTGCAAGGATGGCTGCAAACCTGCCATGAAAGGAAATTATCTAGGTGAATGCTGGAATGGCTCTGGAGAGGAATAGTGGAGGAAGAATAACACAATCTCATTTTACAGTAAAATCTCTTATTACAGTTGTCTAGTGGAGCATGTCCTTCTGTTATCAAAATCTCTGTCTGTCTGTGAACTTCTCCAAATCTTTGACCTCTTCACGTGCACCTCAGTCAAATAAAGGAAAAAATAATGGAGCTGGAATGAGGGCCTGTCGGTGTCAGCTGTCGTGTTCGTGTTCAGCTGCGTGGGGTCTCTGCGAGGCTGCCTTCGGGAAGGCTGTCGGCGGGATGCCTGCAGAGCGGCTGTCGCGGAAGGAATTTGGCTGAATAGTCCTGGTGTCCCACACGGGAGAAGCGTGTCCTGGCTGCTGGCCTCCTTACCCGTTTTAAGAGAACTTTTCCAGTTTAAAGGCATTCTGTAACTAGAACAGTTTTGTCCCTTTTGAAGCATAGTTGGTAGTAAATAAATTTATGAAGTTGTACTTGGTGTAATTGAAAGTCCTACTGGAGCCTTCCGCACTGCAAACCTGCACCTAGGTCTGCTGCTGCTTTCCTTGGTAACTTCAAGTTTTAAATTGCATAGCAGCAGTTCAGACCGTGCAGCAGTAACCGTGTCAGAATTGCATGAGGACACATGATGCAAGCCCTTCTGATCTTCTGGCGCAGCATCTCGCTCCTGACCCGCAGCGTTGCTGCTCTTCTCTTCCCGGATTTCTCAGCTTGACTTCTCGTGGTCGTCATAGTCAGCGGGGTTGAAGTGGAGGCTTCTCAAAGAGTCGGGAGCTTCCCTCAACGCAGTTAGAATGGGCTGAAGGATAAGGTGTTAGCATGTGAGCTTGCCAGTTTTACTGGGATTTGCAGCTGCTTAGAGGTTAGGACGTACATGGGGTTCATAGATTCCAGGAGGGTGGCCACCAAAATGGGCAGAACTGTGTCTCTTAAAATTTACAGCCGCATTTGTAGTACGAGTCTGTCGATTTACTGAATGTTTTTTAGTGATAGGTCTCACTAGTGGGTTAGTGTGGTAACGAAGTATTGTCTAATGGTACGATGCCTTAAATGAAAAAACAATCCCCCTTTTTTGTTAGACTTTTGTGCCAGAACCTCGACCAGCTCCTAAAAATGATGTTGGGTTGAAGTACAGCGTGAAGCACCGCCCTTTTCCTGAAGAAGTGGACAAGATCCCATTTGTGAAGGCTGACTTGAGCATTCCTGATTTGCATGAAATTGTGAATGAGGAAGTAAGTAACTCCGAGTCTCTGATTTAATGTTGTTCTTGGGGTTTTTTGCCTGTTCATGAATCATACACGAATGTCTAAGTGTAAATAGTGTTACTCTTTAGCTTGGCTAATTTCATATTAAAGGAATAATGACCTCTGCAGACTAGTGAAGACTGTGCACTTCTCCAGGAAGATGGCAGTGCCTGGGACGTGGGTTTTGGGAGGCACTGCTGTCTTGTTACAGATCCTAGTACTGCTATTGCTGGTACCGCTGTGACACAATGACTTGTGTTTCGCTGCTGCTTCTGGGGAAATGGAAGGGACTTTCTGAGACCTCCCTGTGGGAGGAAGGGATGCATGTCTCAAAAACGCTTTGAAGTTTCAGGGTGCCAAACGGGGTTTAGTTCCTGTTCACTTAAAAGGGTGAATCTGTAGCTGATACTGGATACATGAATTTGCAGCAGCTCTCCCATGCAGACAGGATGTTTAGCCGTTCGTTTTAAGTAACGTTGCGAGCTCGTGACGATGGCGCTTCAGTAAAGATCCTTGTAGTGGAGTGGCAGCTGCTGCTGTGCCTGTGGCTTACAGCTTTCCTGCATCACGGAACTCTTCTCAGAGTGAATCACGGTGGACTCAGCATTTCATGCAATGTTTTTCAGCTTTAAGAGCGTCACGAGAAGCTGAGGAATGGCATGGCACAGCAGATTATTTTTGAGACTTCCATAGATCAGCAAAGTGAGGAGGAGTGGCGGAAGAAGAGCTTTCCCGATCCGATCACGGAGTGTAAGCCCCCACCGCCGGCGCAGGAGTTCCAGACCGCACGCCTCTTCCTCTCTCACTTCGGGTTTCTCTCGCTAGAGGCGTTGAAGGTGACCTGATGCTTCTTAGTGTTGTGCGAGTACCCTCAGTACCCATATGGTCTGGCTTGGCCAGAGTTCAGTTAGTGGAAGATTCTCTGTGTAATTCTGAGTGCTGCTGAGCTGTAGTCCAGTCAAAGTGACGGATTCCCGTCTTGCGGGGTTGAGAGCAGGGCTGGGGAAGCCCACGCACGCCTCAAGCTGAACATGCCCCAAGTCAGTGGCGGGATCTTTAGTTTTGCAGCGGGTACCTGAGCCAGCCCGTTCGTGTGTTCATACTTCACATCATTCCCTCGGCTTGAATTGGGCTTCGAGGTGGTACTTGAAGAGTTTCTGAAATACGAGTGCCTTAGAATTTCTGCTCCAGAGATGATTGTGCTGAAGTGATTTAATTATGTATAAGCACTTGGGAGTACGTGTAGGTTGAAGAGGTGTCTTTTTCAACTTCTAAATAACAACAGTTTATAGAATCCATATTCTTTATTGGAAATTCTGCCTATTGCCTGTGGATTGTTCCTTTTAGCTGTTGCATTTCCATCAACAAAAGTAGACAGTGGAGTTTTTGCAAAAACTGTGTCTAAAAGTGCTTAGGATGTTACGTATTATTGGTAATAAAATAGTAAATATGAAACTACACACGTGACTGTATAGGTTCAATGTTTTTGAAAGTATCTGCTGCTTTCATTGTGGTAGCTAGCACTCTGTTTGATCAAAATGTTATGTCTGTTTTGCTGGCAAAATACTGGTTTTATTTAATGAGGAGAGTAGAATGCAACAAATAGTCAAATTGTGGTACTTGCTGTTATTCCATTACAGAGACAGGATTGTATTGCAGCAGAAGTTTGTGTATGATCTTGCTCTTAGGAGAAAAGGGAATTGTCTTTTTATATTTTAATGGATTGAAGCCATTAAGGCCTCTTCGGTTAGAAAAGATGTCTTTTTTTTTAAGCTGTTGAACTCTGTCTGTTGGATAGGAACCTGCGAACAGTCGTCTACCTCCTCACCTGATTGCACTTGACTCTGCTCTTCCTGGGTTTTTTGATGACCTTGGCTACTTGGATTTACTACCGTGTCGTCCTTTTGATACTGTATTCATTTTCTACATGAAGGCAGGCCAGAAGACAAGCCAGGAGGTAAGTGGAAATGTAGAGTGCTGACTAAGTGATATTGGCTAGTTTTTAGTAATCCTCAGCGAATAAAGCATTGCTGCTCATGGCTACGGTCGAGCCGAGCGTTCTGGGCTTCATGTTTATTTGGTGAGAGCTGTAACCTGTCTCTGCGTGCTCCTTTTGTCTGTAGGTTGAGGTACATTACCCGCATTTAGGAATTGCCTAACAACTTTTTAATATATTTTAGATAAAAATACATTTTCTATATTAAAATACTATTTTGGTTATCTGTTCTGACCTTATTGTCCTTACTTGTAGAGTTCAAAGGTTCATATCAGAACCACATTTTGGGTTTCCTGGCTCAGGTTTCAGGGCAGGTTGCTGTGCAGCATGCAGGTAGCTTGGTTTGATTCTAATACTATACATGTGTTAAAGGAATAGAAAAACTTCCTGCATGTAAGAAAGTGTCATTGCTTTGTAAGTCTTTACATTACACAGTTTACATTCAAATCTGATTAGGCTAATCAGGTTCATTTGTGAAAATCTAAATGGCAACTTCTTTAGACTGACCTAGAAACTCACCAAGCCAGCTTATGGGCTCCCTTAGAAAAAGTTGGTTCTGTAGAACCTTCTCTTCAGTCCATTTGTAATTCTCACAGTAAACAGCAGAGGCCCAGCTTCTGAAATAACTTGTGTCATCTCCTCTGTTGCTGTGAGTGCACAGCTGACACACCTCTGTCGCACCTTGTGCTTCTGCGTGGGGTGCGCCAGTCCTGAAACCAGGATCGTGCTGTTTGCGAGTTTTCAAGTTGAAATCCAGAGTAGCCAGTACACAGTCTTTTCATCTCCAAAGTCAGCGACAAAACAAGGTATCCGAGACTTGCCTTCCAGCTGAAATGTGTTCTTGCTGAGCTAGCAGAATGCTGCTCTTTTCCCCATCTGATGCTTATATGCATTTACAGATTTAGACAGATGAGATTACTCAGTCCTGCAGAACTTGCTGGCCTTCAGAAACCCAGTTAGTGTGGGCTTTGCCGTGTAGATGTAAAAAAATCTTGTATTTGGGGCATATTTAGACACAGCGTAAAGATACCACTCCTGCTTCAGGATCCCTGGAGGTCCTGCTGAGGTACACAAGCCTTCCAGGTTGGGCAGAGACAGTCAAGTTAATAACATGCTCGTCTCCGTGGAGCTGAGCTGAGTGAGACGCTGATCCTGCTCCCATCTTTGAAAAGGCCTGTGACTTAATTCTCTCCTGTTTAGTTTTCAGTATGAACAATCAAGAGAGGAGGAGATCAAAGCCAGGTTGTGACAGTTTCTGCTTGGAGCAGGACTAGCTGCCCGGTCCCGCTCAGCCGCCTGGGTGTGCGAGTCCTTCCCACCCCAGCTCGGGACCTCGCTCTGTTCCGAGCGGTGACGCGCTGTCCTGTCACGAGGAGTGCTGGTCGCTGTGCAGTGCCTAGCCTGCTGGTTATTGCCTTAGGCCCAAATGTCTTTATGTGGGAGTGGGCTTTTACAGCTCAGAAGGGTCTCGTGGTGTTTATGAAACTACCTGCACACTTCTTAAATCGTTGTGCTTCCCATCGTTAAATGGTCTGTGAAAATAGCCCCTTGTCCCTGCCTTACTGCAAATTGTTTTTTCAAAGGCGCTCAAATGTAAAAGCAGGTAGTTGCATAAAGCCTGAGCCTGCCTATTTTCTGAGGTTGTCTTCTGAGCTGCGCTCCTCTCAATTCATTCTGAAGCAGAGCAATGACTTGAGTGAGCTCGGTAACCAGAGTAGGAGTAACATTTCAGTGCCGCATGTCCAGTCACTGTTGATTATTTAAGAGACGTTTGGATGGGGTGCCAGGACAGCGTGGGTGTGAGGAGCCCCTCTCTGGACACTTTCCTTCCAGCTCCTGTCTCCGTCCCTGTAGCTTCTGCTCCGCATCCTAGTGGGCTGCCCCTGCACAAACCGAGGTTGGAGGTGTTCCTGCCACAAACCGAGGTTGGAGGTGTTCCTGCCACAAACCGAGGTTGGAGGTGTTCCTGCCACAAACCACATTCTCACGTGGCCCAGAAAGGGATGTGTTGCACGGTGTTGTCTGTCCCACAAATCCTGATAGTTGTGGTAGACCAAATCACAAATTGCCCACGTCTCCCTGTGTGCTGTTTGGTGAAGGTCTCGACTCTCACTTGGTCACGATGGGAGAAAAATTGCCTTTGGATGTGGAAATAACCCAGAGGAGGCTGAGGGGTGACCTCATTCATGGTTATAAATATGTCAAGGGGGAGTGTCAGGAGGACGGAGCCAGGCTCTGCTCAGGGATGTCCAGTGACAGGACAAGGGGCAACGGGTACAAGCTGGAGCACAGGAGGCTCCACAAAACATCAGGAGAAGCTTTTTCCCTGTGTGGGTGCCGGAGCCCTGGCCCAGGCTGCCCAGAGAGGGTGTGGAGTCTCCTGCTCTGGAGACTTTCCAACCCGCCTGGACGCGTTCCTGTGGGGCTGCCCTGGGTGACCCTGCTCTGGCAGGGGGTGGCACTGGGGGATCTCTGGAGGTCCCTTCCAATCCCCAGCACTCTGTGATTCTGTGATCTTTATAACAACTAGGATTAAAGTATAAAGTGAACAGTACAGAGTGATATTTAATTAAGGTGTATGCTTAATTCTGCTGAAAATTGTTTCGCAAAACGTTTCACAATTTAACGTGCGGTGAAGCCTGCCTTCTAAATCACTGTATGTCATGTACAGGTGAGTGCTGATAAAATACCTTCTCCAAAAATTTCACCTCTGTTTCACAGTAAAAATTGTCCAGAAAATCCTGATGTCATTTGGTGCTAACATAGATTCTGCACTGAACAGTCCTGTGGTTTATCCCTGATGAGTGGATCAATCTCAAAATTGCCATTTCTGGTCGTGCAAGTAACTATTTCACAGGCTTTGGCGATGATGGCAGAAAGATGTGTTAATGGAACAGGACTCTGCCAAGCAGCGTGAGAGGGTGCTGGGCAGCGGAGAGTAGTGTCCATGGATGGAGGTCTGAGGTTCTAGGCTCTATTTGGGCAAAACCATGTTGACAATACAAAATTTTAGCTGAAAAAGTGGGGAAGGAAGAGAGCTGCTTGCTTCCTGGAGTCTCTTGTACCTACCACGGTGCTGCTGATTTCTTTCAGATCCTAAAGAACATGGAGTCTTCCAGAATTGTTCAGCCACACTTCTTGGAGTTCTTGCTGTCTCTTGGCTGGTCTGTTGATGTGGGGAAGCACCCTGGGTGGACTGGCCATGTCTCAACGAGCTGGTCAATCAATAGCTGCACTGATGAGGAGGGGCCCGAACAAGGTAAGACATCCTAAATGGTGTAATATTAAATGAAAATGTTTAGCCTCCTTCAGGAGACAGTTCATGAAATATTTCTTGCTCCTGTCTGAGCACCTGCATAATTTTTTTCTTTTTTGGATAAATGCTGAGATTTACTAGGGAGGAATGTGTAAATACTAGATTAAGCTTCAAGTCAAAGTGAGCAAAACTAATGTCTCTGTGTTGTTGGGAGGAAGCAGCCTCAGCAAGAAATCTGTGTTACACTTTCAGCAGAGTCAGTTGAAGCTTTAATAGATTATCCAAAAGGAGCGTTTGGGTGAAATTGGGTACAGATTGTGCTGCATATTGGCACATAGACTTGAAACACTGTGCCATTTGTAGTGGTCTGAAAGCAAGGGCAGCTTTGTAACGGTGCTTGGTAGGAAGTAGTGACAAGAAGCTGCTGGTGGTGGGCCATGGTGGCTGGAGCCCACGCGCAGCTCTTCTGTCCCGCTTCGTTTACTCTCCTTTTTTCTGCCAGAGTGGCTGTTTCTCTGGGCTTGTCATGTGCCACCCTCTCCTCATTCTGTCAACCGAAATGACCCTCAGGGTAGTGAACTGCTCTCCCAGGGTGGTGAACTGGAGGTCGGGGTAGCTCTTGCCTTGAACAACTTTGTCAGGCGACCTGGGATTCTGACAGCGCCTGGCTTGCCTTCAGCTTGGCTCCTGGTCGCTCCTCCAAGGGCCAGACGTTTCCTGGTGGTCTTTGGAGCCTCAGCCTCCGGCTGTGGGCCACACAGAAGCATTGGACAGGCTGCTCCAGCTCGTTCAGTGTCTTTGACCCGGCGTTTGCGTTGGGTGCAGGGCCATTTCTGCGGCAGTTGCTTAGCTGGGGCTCCTGCTCTGCTTTCCCTTTGCCGCGCATTGGCAGTGCTCATCACCTGTAACTACAAACGACAGAAAGCTTGACATTTTGGGGAGAGGTTAAGAGAACAGAGAGGTGGCTTTCTCTAAACAAGTCAGAGGTTACAAAATGTCTGCGTCTTGGTGTATTTTTAATTTGAGGCCAGGATCAGACTGGGCTTTACTCTGAGCAGAGCCCTCTCCCTTCTGCTCTGCAGTCGGCTCTGTCAGCACGGCTGTGCAGAACGCAGCCCCCGAGTTAATGAGGTGACCTCTTGATTTTTAACTGGGATTTTTTCAGCCCTTTGAGTTAGATCACAGACCACCAAATAATTGGGGGACAAGGGAACAGAAGCAGCATGCAGGGATGGGAGGGAGGGCTACCTCTGATCTGGTTCTGCTCTCGTAAAAAGCCACGTGTGGAGCTGTGCCTTTAGCAAGCAATGGCTGAGAGACTGACATGGTGGGTTTAAACTAGACTTGGAGCAACGCGTGGGGATTGCTTGCTGTGTTTTCTCCTCCAGTCTTTGCTATGATTAAATAGATGTGTTTCTTTAAATGTGTTTTCTCTTTGTGGATGGCTCTGATGAGTTAAAAAAACTTATTTGGGAGTCGAGTGTCCTGTGACCGGCGGGGCCAGGGCAGGGATGGTCCCCCCGCACTCGGCCCTGAGGAGGCCACG